AATGATAACAACACCACCAGAAGCTTGTCGTGAATCACACCCAGGGCCGACAGCGATTACCTTTCAATAGATGTTAGCTCATCGAGAGAACAATAAAATCGTTAATTGACAGAACCGCCTTGTTGAGTCGAAAGATCGCACGTCTCCACGAGAAGCAAATCTTTCGACAGTAACATCATCGGTTGTAAATACATTTAATACCCCGTGCTGCGCTATACGACATATTTGTAAAATCGTCTGCGGGAAAGCTTTCAAACAATATGTTCATTTATACTTCGCATGCATTTTCGTAAAATTTTTATCAGTAAATCGGTTCAAAATATTTATTAAAGGCCTAATTCACCCAGCACTGGCCGCCTACTTATTGAATGCAATTTTCAAGCAGTCTGAGTTCTCGTTTATGTCAATCATTGAAAAACGGTCCAAATTTGACCGAGCATTGTTTAGTTATCTGCATTGAGCCAGGCCGAATTGCTATACCGCAGTTTCAAAGGAGTGAGCCTGCTGTCTATTTGAAGCCATCTCTAGGCTTTACTGTTTTAGTTCAAAATATTCTTGAAAATATGTAGGCGCCACTTGTTAAAACTGTGTCTATTCAAGAAATTTTTCAAAGTAAATATCCTCGGTTTGAACAGTAAGCACAATATGCTGTGCTTATCGAGAATGCCAGCTCGTGTTGGCATGACTCACCCTGGCGGCCGGGTGAATGAGATGGGCGCAGCAGACTGGGATGACACCACAGCTGTCACTTCAGCACCGGAACTTTGATGTTTAAACAGCCGGTATTTTTGCTCGACAGGCCGATTTTCTGTCAGACGACAGCGTCATGTCAATCTCTTTAACATCAGATTGCTTGAAGGTGCCCAATACTGGATTAAGAAATAGTGTAAAAATAATTATTGTGTAGCCCAAATAGGATGATTCATTGGTTAAAGCAGCTGAAATTGAGATATGACAGTGTCATCACTAAAAAGATACGATCAAATTTGCTCTCTGATGTGATATGTTTAAATTGTAAAAATAATGAGCTTTGGCAAAATAATGAGGCGCCATCAGACATTTCTCGGTGAAACAAGAGTGGTCCAAAAAACACTGAATGCTCAATCACGATATGTCAACATGCCAGTCTTTATCTGAAAAAATAAAGGCACTTTTAAAGGTCTCTTTGAGATGCCTTGCATAATTTCTGAAAATGTCTGTCGATCTTCCTTCTTCTGGGGAATTCATAATGCTCATCTACCGAGAATCTAGGTCTCTGTTATGCAAGAGCTCACTACTGCTAATAAACAGCGATGAAGAAAATACCCATTTTTCTTCATCGCTATTTTGTTGTGATAGAGTTAGCGAGTTATCACAGGTAGGTAGCACTACAATTCGGGCATATGGCAGCACAGAGCACATCAACCCAGCCTTTCTATATCCATAGGCTTACGGACATCTATTTTTGTATTGTTTCGGACATTTCTTATTGTACTTTTTTCTCGCAAAATGGTTCTTTTAGTATTTGATAATTTTTTGTCTCTTGTAAAAAAAGACTACCTTGCATAGTTTTTGAGATTTTTTTTCTCCAAAGGGGACCTACAAAATAAACAGTGTTCTCGGTAATAGGCAATGATAGGCCATTGCCAGACAACTACATGAGTTCAGTCTCCCAGTTGCTAGACTTATGAAAATGTAACCTAAGGATCAGAAGAGGACACAATAGATCTGGAAAAGGTCGTAGTGAATCAGGCCGATAGCCACTTCGAAGAATCTATCTACCGCAATGTCTCAAAAGTTGCTTGCAAAAAAGTTACTGGTGTGTAACTATTTTATTTTTTCAGATAAAAAACGAGATTTGGCATGTTAGTATGTGACATAAATTAGATTGATTGACGTATTCAATTGTTTTTACTTCTGTTTCACCGAAAATGTCTACAACTTTTGATTTTTAAAATGGCACCCGGTATTTTTTTTACTTTAAAATCCGGTATTTTTTTTAATTTAAAACGCTATTTTTAATCAGGGCCTTGAAAAATAGATTTGATCGTCTAATGTTTTTAGGGTACTTGTCCTGGCCCGCCAAAAGATGCCCAAATCGTATTTTTAATCATATCTCAATTTTTTCAACTGGAACAACCGGTGGATCATTACCATATTTGGGAAAAGTATTTTTACGAATAATTTGGTACCACACACTTGGTATTTCAAGTCAAATTGTTGTTTTGATGCATGTTGCAATTTCAAATAATCCATATTCGGAAATGTCAAAGTTACATAGCGACATGTCATTCTATTTAGAGTGTCATTTTCAACAAATAAAGTGACAAAATACCGAGTTTTTGTTTAAACATCAAAAGTTGTAGCCATTTCCGGTTAAACAAGAAGTGACCGAAACAATTGAATATGTCAATCAATCCTAATATATGTTGGTATACTAACATACCACATCTCGATTTTTTATCTGAAAAATAAAAAGTTATAGGAGAAGCTGTTTTTAAGCTTCACCCGGTATATACAGGGTGACCTCAAATAAGTGCAAATATTTTGAGGGCTTAGTAGATCCCTGATAAAAGCAAATATATTGTCTCTCTTTTACCGTTTTTTCAAATAAATCTCAAAATAACTGAGTTATTTTACTTTGAAAAATTTCTTTAAATTTTGAGAATCACTGGGATCGTTTTTGAGTTTTTTTGTAAATTTAATGTACTCTACCATTGTTCCATATTTCAAAAAATTCTATTTTGAACTAAAAACTTTTAGTTAAAAATAGAATTAAAAAACTTACAATTCTCAATTTTTTTCGCAAAAAACCTCATAGTTGTGTGTTTGGGGTCGACATATTACCGGTAAAAATACATACACTTATTGAAGACTCACCCCATATATGTAAATGGTCTAAAAAGGGTATAAGAAATGTTGAAAAATATGATAGCGGTTAAAATTTGGAAAATAACCCCCCTATATTCAAGCTAGAAAAATAAGACAACAGGTAGTCTATTTGGAACTTCCTCCTTTACAAACTGCGGTTAGTAGCGGAATTCCGACTAAGAAACTTCCAAAATTCATGAAAGAAGCAAAGTTTGGCCGAGGGCAGATAAACATGAGACGAAATGCGGCCGAATAGTTTAACGCGACGATTATTCTAGGTATTTGTTTTCCAAGGACGAGGTATAGTAGATGCATCGGAATTTCTCATAAAATAAAAGCCAACCGGGCGGAAGGCATCCGATGCTCTTTAGCTATGTTTTAATATTCGGCCCGGGAAAGGTGCAAATTCTGCAAAGATTATCGTAATGGCCTGCTCTCAGTTAAAATTTGGACCATTTTCTTCAATGGTTAAAACAGAATAAAATGAGTCTCCATAGGAAGTTGCCTTATTAGGATTTACTTGAAGAATAATTAGATTCAATGCGGTAAATTCAAAATATTTGAGATGCTTTAAGTGGAAATTAAGGTACTACAATAAAATATTTTAGACCAGTTATTTGTTTATTAACTGATAAAAATTTTATCAGAAAAAGTAATTTTATGCAGAAATAATTCCCTATAAAATTGTAGACATAATAATAAATAGGTACTTGTTTTACAGGACTTTGACAAAAGCCAGTATTTGAGACGGTTACACAAAGGTTAGTCCTCCATCTCCTATATCAGTCGTACCAAAGTTGATAGCACGAATGGTTGTCGTCTTGGTGCACACAATGATGAGGTGTTCTAGTGTTACTCCATTTTGCCACAGAATCTGCAATCGAGGTTCATTGAGGAGACACATTGAGAAGACAGCTCTCATTGAGGAGACAGTGTTCTAAAAAACCGCGACAATCCGAAGATTATCCTTACTTAAATCCCGATCGTAAGTCCTGAGAAATTTCTTCGAGTGTCTTAGACCGTTGTAGGATTTCCATAGCATTGGGAAACAGAACGGTTCTGGTCCAGTTAATCGCGTGTTCTCTGTTTTTCTAGCTAGATCATTTGATTTTTTATTACATTCTCTCGGTGGGCTAGCATCCTGAGTAAGAGGACTTTATTTTAATCACTTAATTTGTTCAGCCCTTACACAAAAAGATTAAGGAAAAAAATTGAAATTCACGGCATCGAACTCAAGTCTCTTGTAAACTTAAGCTTCTACTGAAAAGTTAGTGTACAACTTTTATTGAGCCTCACTAACTCATGTCGAATTCAGCAGAAACCTTTGCTGTTTGGTTTATCTCCTAAATGGGTTTACCTGTTTTGTTTTGGAGTTCTCTTTTGTTAATTGAGCATTTATAATCAACCAATTCTGTTTTTTTTAGAAACAATCAAAAAGTCAAATAGGAACTGATTTGGAAATAAATAGTGATACCATTAAGGAGAGGTAGTACTAAGGCATACGTAACCAACCACGTTAGATTAAGATCTCTAATTTGGGTAGTATGTTGGTGTTGGATCTCTTTTTTTGTTCCAAAAATCTTATTTACGATCCATACTCAGAAGCTTCAGTTCAGATTCTCAATCTTTGATGTCATTAGCTTGGTTTTGTAATTACTTTTGTAATTATAATAGTAATAGCTCCCGTATATAGCGTTTAACGCCTTGAGAGTAGCAAAGTACATCTTGCCATACAAGAGCCGTTCGGTATATAAGGAAGGTAATGTGGCTAACATTACGCTTCAACCGCCTATTATTACCTCAGGATGGTGAATCCCAAGTCTTCATTTAAGGCTGAGTCGACCTAAATACCCAAACTATTTTTTATTTTAATAAAAATAGTCGGCTGATTAAATGCCGGCTGTGGAATTCGAACCCATAACCTTTGAATTGGTAGACGAGAGCTGTACTTTTGTAATTATTTTTTTAAATTTTACTTTGTTACACCAAGAGTTTTAACTTTGTAAGTGTATTTTTAACAATATAAACCGACTTTTGATAGTAACAATAGCTTGACATATTTGAATATAATGCCAGAAAGTCAATTGTTGAATTTAAAATTTGTTTAAGTCAACAACTCACATCTAATTTTATTTTATTTTTTGTTCCAGGAACTACGCACTTTGGAATGCCGTCACTGCGGTCTGCGACGCATTAACACCCAAATCTACCACCTGTTGCCTTATTTAACCCACCTAGACCTAGGCTACAACCGCATCCAGTTCCTGGCCAGCGACGAATTCCAGGACCTCCATCGCCTGCACAGCTTAAAACTGGACGGAAACATGTTCCCGGTTATCTTGGAGTACACTTTTGTCAACCAGCAACAGCTCAAGTACCTCAACTTGGCTAGGAACCGAATAGCTAAGGTCCCTGATACTTCTTTGAAGAATTTGAGCAGTTTGGTCGAACTGGATCTTGGTTATAACAAGCTTAGCAAGACTGAAGGTTTGGTGTTTGTGCATGTGAATAAAACTCTGGAGAGATTAGTGTTAAGTGGGAACAACTTGAAGCAAGAATTTATAAAAAGTATTGTGGGGGTGTTGGGTAAGGTTAGGGATTTGAGTTTAGCTCACATGAAGCTAGCTAGTGTTTCCAGTGGGTTTTTTCCTGACAGAATTCGAAATTTAAACCTTTCGGGAAACAATTTCAGTGAAGTGACCGTCGACATGTTTCCCAGACAGTTATTCTCTTTAGATTTAAGTAAAAACGAAATAAAGGGACTGAATGATAGTGTAGTGTCGTTTCTTGAATACATCAAAAGGGTTGATATAACAGATAATCCATGGACGTGCACCTGGTGTTATATAACAGACCTATTTTTTCGAGTAAACGATACAAACTTATTTCAAAATGCAACATGTGCCTTTCCCAGTGTTCTCAAAGGCAAACGCCTTACGAAGTTAAATTCGGACGAAATTCCGTCTTGTGGTAGTACTGAAAACAACCCCGATAGCTCGAGTTCGATGAACAAAAAAAGGTTTGTTAATAGGGCTGGTCTGTATAGTAACGTTCGCAGTGTTTTCGGTGGTGTTCGTGTGTTCGTGTGTGAAGAGGCACCACAGAAACGGTGAGGCGTGCCAAGCGTGCTGCGGAGTGCCAGGAAAACAACGTGGAGCATCTGCAGACCGCGGCTATATTTAGTAAGAGCGAGATAAGTTTCCAGTTTCCGCTGGATCTGACTGAGAGGAAGTTGTCGGTGTCGACGATTGCTGAGATTAAGAAGGATGAGAGACAGGGGATGTCAAACGGTACTATATCGACTGGTCTTTGAATATTTTTTTTGTTAAAACTTATTGTATATAGTTGTTTTTAAATGATCAGAAAGAGAGATATAGTAACTCCTACCATACAAATGTTCTATACATTGATACCTAATATTTTAATATAATTTCTTTTACAAACTAAAGTTACCGGTACTGCGTTACCAGTACGGTTTTAAAAATCAGTTACCGTAGAAATTAATTGTTCCAAAGGAAATTATTAATAAAAAGCAGAATGAAAAAAGCCTAGGAATTAAATATGTCAATCTACAGGTAGATAAAAAACAGATACAGGGTGTTTTAAAAACATGTGCTATCTCTCGTAGGAAGATTTCATGTAAAAATAAGATTTGTTTTTTATATCAATATATATAGGTCTGATTCTGTTTTGTTTCATAGCTACAGGGTGTTAAAGTCTTAATATTTGTTCGATTTATTATAAGTTTCTTCCAAGTACTTTTAGCGTTTCGAATGAAATTTTGAGGGTATAAGTTACTATAAATGCGACATATTTTACAGCAAAAAAAGGGTCGACATATTCACCAGGGACGTGCATATGGGTTATCACTGGAATATTTTTCTAAAAAGAAACATGTACGTCACTGACTAAGTGTGAAGACTTTAACACCCTGTAGCTACAAAAAAAAAGCAGAATTAGACCGATGTTCACATGAAAAATAAATCTTATTTTTACGTGAGGAATCTCCCCACAAAAGATGGCACATGTTTTCTAAAACACCCTGTATATAACATATTGTTTTTAATGTCAAGGGTTTGAGAGATGTTGTCTAAACCAACAAAGTTTTTTTTTCAAATATAAGTTTTTCTGAATGGTTTGATATAAATATCCATTCATTATGTTTTTGTCGAGAAATGCTTTTATCCATATTTATGTATATCCATGATGGATTTATCATTCAAAAATCAATTGATTAATATAACAGTAGTATTGCTTAAAGAGTAATACCGCATGAGCCTGAATTCGGAGGCGCTCCAGTGTTTGTGTCCGAATTTAGTGAGAAACATGGAACATTTAGGAGTAGCTAGTGCTGCGTTCATAGTTATTTATGAGTTGCTAAAGAAAAAGAGACGACGACATCGTACTAGATGGTCTTCACAATGATATCTTCAAAGAAGTCGAGATTGGAGCCTTAATTTATTGAAATACAGCTCATGTTTAACTTTCCATAAAATAGGTCTTTTCTCAAATTTTTTGATTAATTGTAAACACCTGTCAAACAGATCGAAACATATCCTGACACAATTACAACAAAAAATAAACAACCACGGTTTGTCTTGGTTGATTTCGATCTGTTTTGGAGTTTGTGTCCGAGACAAGCCAAGATTCCCCGCAACATAAGATAAGTTTTGGGTTTACTTCTGAAAATTTTGTTTTTTCCTTGGAAACAGCTTTGTAAAATATTTCACGGAATATTTCTGGAAGTATTTCGTGAAACATTTCTTTATTTAAATAATCTTTAAATTCTTTAAATCGGTCATTTAGAGGTCTAGATGTTTTAACAAGATATTTTTTTCGCCTTTTTTTGTTTGTTGTTCAGTGTTTTGTATCTATTGTTTATCTATTCAGAGTTTTATTTCTTTTTGGACCATAATATCCAAGATTTCTTCAGTAAAACACCGACGTTTTTAAGTTATTACAAATAGTTAAGAACAATTAACAGTAATTTCCCTTATTGGTAAAAATAAACGATATTACTGTTATGACAATTATCTTTGTTTGTTGACAAAACACATATTACGCGGATTCCGATGCGGTGACAATGGCAAATTTATCTTGTTCCCTAAACAAGATTTAATTACGCAAACCAATTGATCACAGCAACTAGTTTCAAACTCTAGCACTCGCCAACAGTTGATTCGACTTCATTAATTTGGCAAACGATATTCGCCGAGGGAGAATTAGCCTGTTTGATAACATTTTAAATATGCCGAGCATAAGCCCAATTAGATTTGCATACTTTTAGGTCGCGCCACTTCAGCGTTTATTAACGAGATAAAATTATTAACGAGACAAATTTAATTGAAAGGGGTATCACTCACTAATAATAATCTCAATATAATCTCAATAAATAAAATAGTCGGATTAGTTACACCATTTATAAGTGAAGAACGTAAGCTGTACTGACCTTATTGATCACTGAGTTGCTGGGTTTGTCTCAGCCCCGAAAATCAGAATACCTATGATATATTGGGATAATTTAGGGAAAACAAATTGTACCCACCAAAATTTAAATTACATGTTTATTAGGAAATATTAATAAGTTTAGATCAATAAAGAACAACTTTATTAAAAGAATAGTTAACTAAAATATTATGGAACGAAGTAGTGGTTGGAATTGAAACTAAGGTAGCTATTTCCATTTATTTACCAATGTATTTATTAACACAATGTCCATATTATTTGCGCAAAATTATCAGATATTTGTATTAGTTTCATTAAGTTTAAATATTTAAAAAATATATTTTTGTCACACACAATAGTAGTTAAAATGGATAAAAACTTCATATAAATCGATAATTATATTATGAGACACATGATATTACACATTTACAATTTAAAATGAAGCGTATTTTTCTTATATCTAAAACCCCTAATACATTTATATATAAATCATTATTGTGATTAAGAAGTGTTTTAATTTTTTAGTTTAATGACGAATATTCTAAATAAAATTAAATGACAATCATATACAAATACATTATGGGGTTAATTTTTTTTCCTAAAATTTAAAAACTTTTAATTGTTGCAGTTTTACGGTTGCAAATTTATTTTCGATAAAATATTAATTGATTGGATTCACTCACTCAATATTAAGTTTTAAGTCCATTTTACTATAATATAAATTATTCGGAAATTTTCATACAACTTCGTCAATTAAATGAATGTTTAAAATTTTGTTTCATTAATTCCATATGCTTTTATATTTACAAATAGAAAATATTTTAGTGGTTGCCATTTTTTTGTATGGGTATGCTGAAAAAATATGCATTATATTAAATTTTCAAATTGAAAGGTTTTTATAAACATATTATGTCCTAAACCACTTAAGCTTGATTTTCATGCATCCGTTGTCCGACGACCAATAAAATTAATATCGTACCATCATATCGTCGGATAACGGATGCATGAAAATCAAGCTTTAGTGGGCAACGACCGAGCTACGTCGAAACACCGGTTCCCATTAGAACACCAAAGTTAAGCAACGTAAGGCGATACTAGTGGATGGACGGGTGACCGGTTTGAAACTCTGTATTGTGCTGTTGTCCAGTAAAGGCAAAAGTGTAAAATCTATAGACACGCACTGCTTATTCACGCCGATTCGAGGCCGGATGAGATCGGATATCTCGTGAGTAAGAGTCGATTTAGACACTTGCCAAGTCGGTAGGCCATTGACCATGATATGGCTAAGGACCTCGGTTCGCATTCCCCGTAAACAAAGTAGGCCCTGTCCAGATTAGCCCTGGCAGCAAAAAAGAGACGTTAACTTCAAATCTTTACTTTAAAACACTTAGTATATAGTTCATATCAAATAAACTTTTAGTCACGTGATTAAGCTTGACTGGCATAGCTGTGACTGGCCTCTATGCAACTCATTCAGATTAAGTAAACTTTGTGTTTTATTGAACTTCAAATTAGAAAGGGCGTGGCATAGCGTTGACCACTTTTACATATTTTCTTTTAATCAAAATATTTTAGGAAACAAAAATAAATTAATTATAAATATATATATATATATATATATATAGAGTTATTATTTACATCAACAAAACTCCCTTTCTTAACAGCACTTAAGGGACATACTGTTTGACCAGCGGATCTGAAGCTACGGAAGGAATGCGAGAAAAAAAATCGATATTGCCACGTTTATCTATAAAATTGCAAAATTGCCAGACATGAACTATACATTTAATATATTTTTATTATATATAATGTGTTTAGCATATATTCTGACTATATTACTAAGGAATTTTAACGTAGTTCATATTGTTCGATATGTTTTATTTAATAACTCATTTCTTTCATTCTGTATAATCTGCTTATTATGAAAGTTGAAGATTTTTCAAAGTTATCATTGGCAAACCGGCATCGCCGCGCATGGCCGCCTATTCATCGAACATGATTGGCGAGAGCACGTCACAGGATTTGTTACCACGCGGTTGCCATGGCTTTTACGCCTTTCCTATTCGCTTGCTTTATCCCCAACTTCACGGTCTCTTCTGAAAAGAGTAGGAATATTGAATACTATTGAAATATCCAGTGGCGGTGTCATTTTTTTTTGATCATTATTACTTTATTTCATTATTTTATACCGGTTTTCCTAAACTTTATTCCTATATTTTCGTATATTTGATAGTTAAGTTGTGTTTTATTGTTTTGTTATATTGTTATAATGTTTTTCGTTCGTAGTTTTTAATTATTAATACCAAGTTTGATCGTATATTTGTGTTTTAAAATGAATAAATTTGTTAAGGGTAAGACGCTACATAGTCAGACAAGAGAAATAATAGCTAATTTATATAGGTAAGTTAATAATAACGTGGATGAAATCTCATTTGGTTTATTTCCTTCTGTTCATAACAGGGTTTGCGATGAAGAAGCTACAGAGAGTTCGCTTAAGTTGCCGCTTAAACGTAAACTTGAGCGGATATTTCTTTATACCGGAGTTAGCGTATCGGCTATAAAAAAATTCACAAAGAAGATAAAAAAAGGCTGAACACTAACCCCGATAAAATGATAGCCAGCTCTGGAAAGAAACGACCACGTGAGACTGCTGTCGAAAAGCTCGACGACTTGGTGACGAAGTGGTCGGGAATTTGATAAATATATTTTATCTCGAATTCAAACTCGTCCCCACAATTAGAAAGCTTTTGCAAAAATTGCAGGAAGAATCGAATTTTCCCTTTGCAGGGAAATGCTTAGGGGTTATTAAAATCAAATGAATTTTTTGGCGTAAATGTCAAAATAACAGATAAATATTAATGGAGCGGC